CAATCATATCGGGCATTCACGGTAAATTTCAATTATAGAGGATAAAGAAGCTAATATCACAATGTATAGAGATAAGGAACAAAAGTAGGAAAAAGAAATACAACTTCCATGATCTTGTTGTAAGCTTGCCTATGGAGAACCTTGGCTGGATGAGATGAAACCTCGACTTGGTTGATTGGAATATACACCCTAGAGCCAATGCCTTGGCCAACTATATATTTTGCATGTTGCCGCCTATGGTCATTGGCCACTCTATTACAAAAACTTGATAGTGTTGGACTAGAGGGGGTTCTCCTGTTGAACCCTTTGCCTACAACTAGCTTGTTGTCGAATATCTCCACACTCTCCTGAGGCCTCTAGCTCATCCGTGGGAACTTAAGCCAATCTGGGCCACCTACTCGTCTATGGGGAACCTAAGCTTAGCTACTAGGTTGTCCTCATACATGCACAACCACCTCATGAGAGCTCAATAGGAGCTACTAGGTTCCTCCTCGATGGGAGCCCTCATCTCAAATCCCGTAGGGATAGAGGTCTGACAGGCATGTTCCACCCAATTCACCTACTCATCCAAGATGAGGGTGGGTACTTGAAAACTTTTCCACCTTTTTACCCAAATCCTTCTACAAGATATATGCATTAACAATCAATGTGAAGGTTGTGTATGCTAAAGAATGCAATGTAATAGAATTCAATAAGATAAGCAATAATAAGTAAGAAAATGAAGATTATAAGATAAGTAAAGTACATAGAAATTTTTAGAGAGGTTCGACCAACCCCAACCTACCTCCTCTACTAAGGCCCCTCCTAAAATTTCCACTAAACCAACTTGACTAGACTTCCCAAGTGATAATAAAACCTTTACAAACCAATAGGACTTTCAAATGCCTGCTAGACCTAGATAAACTTTCCTAGAGCTATCCCTACCAACACAAGTGTTCAATTCTTATAACACCTTAAATACAACAAACAATAATAACAGCTAAAGCATGGATACATCTAAAGCCTTTAAATAGGCAGATACAAGTAGATACAATACAAACTAATGTCACAAGCAAGAGGATGCAATACAATAACAAGCTTAGCACATGAAAAGAATCTCAATTCTTGGTTAGAAACGTATAAGCCACGATGGCTACCTAGTCTTTCTCACTCTAATTGATTAAGTTCGAAGAGTTCTTTTATTGAAAACTCTTGCTCATAGTAATGCTCTCAATATATTAGATATGTTATAGCCAATTCCTATTATAAGTAGTTAAAGGAAAACCTGGAGAGTAAAGGGCCTCTTGTTCATACACATGGCATTCTAATTTTTGAATAAACAATAGAAGCTTTCTTTTCCATACATGTGTCTACCCGGTCTCACCAAAAAGAACATGGTGCTTATATTAATCCTTGTAATTCAATTTAAATTCAAATAAAAGTCATTATGAAGATTTTTAAATTACAAATTAAACCTAATTTAATTATTTAAATTAAACTAAATATAATTACTAGATAAATAATGAATCTCAAATAAAATAATATTATTACAAAAAACAAGAAAAACAAAAACCAAAATAATATGTAGGTGTAATTATAATCAACCAAAAAACTAACCCTCGTACTTAATTAGTACGAGGGTTATTCTCTGGTGTATAATTATGAGCAATGGTTAATAAAAAAAAGCAAAAAAAAAAAAAAAGAGATTAATAAGCTAGCACGTTAGTTATCACATGGCTACTTAAAGTAAGATCTATAGTTCAAATCACAAAGCATGCCCCGCACCAACCTCATAGCATTTCCAACTGAACATCAGAAACATCTCTTGTACTTGTATATTGTCATTCATGGAGAGATATTCCGACTTGAAAAAGGGAGTGGGATCTGCTCACAACATTTGCAAAAATGAAAAACAAAACCAGCAAGTCAATACATCAATCGTTACAGGGCTACTTAAAGTAAGATCTACGGTTCACATCGTAGAGGGCATTTGGCACCAACCTCACAACACATTGCTGACCATATAGAAATGATGTGAGGTTGGTGTGAGGTGTCCTCTATTATTAGCAAATCCAAATTCTTCACTTCACCAACATAATATGTATTCACACATCTCACCATGAGTTTGGGATCCATGATGAGGATGAGACCCACCATATTTGCAATGTACGAACACATATCATGTTGGAACATATTGGAACAATCTTTTATTTTTGTTAGTAGATCTGACCAAGTTGGGATCTCTTGCCAACAAAACACGTTCCAACACCCTACCATCTTGATCTAACACCACACATCTCACAATGAAATTGGGGCCCACCATAAAAGTGGGACCTAGCTACCATGCATGAAATGTGCATAGGGGTGTCAACAGTATTCGAAAATTTGATTTCGAATTCGAGATTCTACATAATCGGAAATGACCTGATTTGATTCGACAAATATTCAGATTTGATTAATTATTTAATTCGTATATATAATATATGAAATATTTAAATATTTTATATAAATTATATATAATTGAATTATATAGACAATTTATGTATTTATATAAAAATATTTGTTAATTACCTAAAACAATAAATCGGTCAAATCTGAATCAAACAAACATTTGAATATTTAATCAAATTCAAACTTTTGTTTTCAATTTACATCGAATATTGAATTTTCTAATCGGATTCAAATTAAGATATTGCCTAATTCCATTCGAATTCGATCCATTTACACCCCTTGCGGTGTCGAATGATGTTGGTAGAATGTTAAACGTATTTTGTTGGCAGGTGATCCGGACTCGGTCTAACCTCCACAAAAAGACTTGTGGGCCCTACGATATTGGACCAAAGCAGCAGTCCAAACCAAATCCAAATCCATCTCAGTCATGGACTCATGGTGCCAATGTTTTCAACCCGTCATTGACCCAATTGGTCAAATCGTTTGAACCAGTGTTTTCAACTCGATTAATCAAACCGTTCAAACTATCACCTGGCCAAGATTCTGGGTCTGGTTCAATCAAGACCCATTGTACGGTAAAAAACACTTGACTTGGTCAAGAACTGTTCGACCCGACCGATTCACCCGTTGACCCATTTGACCCGGTCACTGGGTCGTGAGTTTCTCATTCAACGTATGCAAACTTTCATAGGCCATAACTTTGGACTCCGATGTCCGATTGGGGTAATTTTTTTATTTTGGGTAACATTTTGAGATCTATGCATCCCAAGGCACCAAATTGCAAAAAAAAGAAACCCTTTTTGGCCTCAGATTGTAATTTTTTATATTTTTATAAATAAAAAATAATTAAAAATTGAGTTAAAAAATATAAATCAAATATAAAAGTACATATTGAAAACATATTTATACATTATTTATTAATAAAACATATATATATACACACACACACATATATATATATGATGACATGGCATGGTTTGAACCGTTCGACTCGGCCAGTTGAACTGGTGACCCGGAGACAAAAAATGGTTCAGCCTTTGGGTTGGTTTTTAAAACATTGGTTCGAACCATCACTCTGCTAGGATTTCGGGTTTGGTTCAATCAAGATCCGTTAGACGGTCAAAAACTGTTGACTTGGTCAAGAACTGTTCGACTCGGCTAGTTCAATCATTGACCCATTCAACCTGGTGATCGGGTTGCGGGTTGCACACTTAATGCATACAAAACTTTTGGAGACCATAACTTTGCGCTCTAGTGTTCGATTGGGGTGATTTTTTATTTTGGGTAACTTTTCGAAATCTATGCATCCCAAGGCATTATAGGTGCCTTGCCCCATTATTTTCATGTAAAAACCCTTTTTTGCCCTCAAATTGCAATTTTTAATATTTTTATAAATAAAAAATAAAAATGAATTAAAAACATAAATTAAATATAAAACAATACATATAATATATCTAAAATATATTTATACATTGTTTATTGCGAAAATATATATTTATACATATATATACACACATATATGTATATATGTATGTATATACATACATACACACATATATACATATACACACACATATATACATATATACATATATACATATATACATATACATATATATGTATATATATATATATATATACATATATATGTATATGTATATATGTATATATGTATATATGTGTGTGTGTATGTGTCTGTGTGTGCAATCATTCAATCGATCGGTCGAACCGGTGACTCATGACTCAGAGGCAAAAATGATTTTGGCTTCTGGGTCGGTTTTTAAAACATTGCGTGGAGCCTTGTAAAGCCATGCACGTGAGTTTTCGAACAGGCAAAGTTGTGCTTGTGCACAGATAGGGGTGGCCACGACCCGAGCTCTTCACGAGCTACTCGAGCTTGACTCAACTCGGTTTCAACTAAGCTTCAAGCCGAGCTCGAGCTCGACTCAACTCGGTTTCAACTAAGCTTCAAGCCGAGCTCGAGCCCAATTTATAAGCTCAATTAATAAACGAGCCGAACTCGAATATACATATATATTTATAGAAAATAATATATAATAAAAATATTCCAATTCTTAATTTTTAAAATATCAAATAAAAAATATTTTTTATATATAATTTTTTATTTTTATAAAATATTTTTTTTTAAATCGAACTCGAGCCGAATCGAGCTTGAACGAATGAGCTTTTGACTCGAACCGAGCTCGAACTCAAGGTTATAGCTCGAATCGAGATCGAGCTTGTACTACTTTGGAGAGCCGAAATCGAGCCTCGTACTGGCTCGGCTCGGCTCGGCTCGAATCCACTCCTACACGGTGTTCTGTTTCCCCACTCTCAATGGCGAACGAAGGAAGTGTTCTGGATGGGCAGCTCGAGTTTTATTAGAAGAGTAGAAGAGATCGTTTACGGCTTTAAAAGAAAACCCTAGCTTCTGACTCAGCTAATGCGGAGCTTCTTGCGGTATGTGGCTCAAAAGTCAAAACTTCGTGTCTAAACTAGTGTTTTCACTCTTTTGGTTTATGTTATACACTTATACATGGAGCTCCTCAAGGAATTTGATTCCTTCTCCTATGCGTGAAATTGAAGTGAGGCTTGATATATTTCTTAATGTTTATGATCTGTACGGTTTCGTGTTGCTTGAATTTGTTAAGGCACTTGATTTACGTCTGAAGCTGCTGCTACTTTGTCGGACATTATCATGTTTTAGGGTAATGCAAGTTTGAATTCCTAACCGATCAGAAATGAATCCTTATCATAGGTTATTATTTAATGTTTTTAATCCATGAAGGATTTGGTTGTCAAGCAGTTGTCAAAGTGGCTCCCATTTCATGTGTTTTCAAGTATGGTTCTGGTTATGGAAACTTTAATCAGTAAAAAATTAGTGGTTGTTTAGCTAAAGAAGTAAATGCATTGAATTGTTCTCAAGCTTTCATAGCTTGTGGGTCATGTGCTCCACCTCTGCACTTGTTTGCTTACCACTTTAATCATATTTCACATGGAACTGGATGACCATTTTCATAGTTGGATTTTCGTTATTCTGAAATAGATTATTCAAATTCAATTAGGGACAACAGCACCTCCCTTCCGAATGTTGTTCCTAGGCTTTGGACTCTAGCAACTCTCCCCTGAACAGCCCATCACCGTCCATTCTAAAGTTTGGAACCTTCTCAATGGTGGTCAACCTTCTCTCTTTATCCTAAAGTTTACATACTCTAATGTTTTGTTGACAAGCATCTCCACATTATTTCTCTTATTTGTACCTGAATAAGCCGTAAGCTTCTTTTATTTTACCTGCATTATCTGTTTCTTTCACTCTGGTGACTTCATCCTCTTCCCTATTGGATTTTTCACCTCCTAAATTCACTCTTCACCGTTATCAAAATCAGCAGGCCTGATTTTTATATTTCTTTTGACGATGAACATAAAAATTAATGCCAGCACTAGTCAATCATAAGTAGGCACTGTCTTCATGCATCTAGCCCCTAACCTCTCACTTCCTTTCTGGTGTATCTCCTATGTGGATACCAGAAATAATGTCTCCCATTAGAATAGAAGCACAATCAGAAATTAGGTTATCTAATTGAGAGTCAGAGTTAGCCAGTTAGGTTATATCTGAGAGTGGCTGCTGTGTGCAAGAAAATGCCAAAGGTTAGGTCCATAGACAGTTCACCTCTCTCCCAAGACCCTTTATAGCTAGGATCAACACTGGGTGATGGCTTTTTCAATTGAGAATCAGGATTACAGTGGACTTGATTCCCCCCTCTTATTACCAAGTCATATCAGTTACTGGTGAGAAAAAGGGTAAACGCTTAAACCTCCCAAGGTTTGTGCTAAATACTAAGACCTCCCTTCTCTTTTCAAAAAGGACTAAGATTTCCCCCGTCTGAGTTATGTTTAATGGAATCACCAAAAAGTCTCTTTTTCCCTTAATAGTTATTTAAATTTTCATAACAATGGAAATATTGAAATAGAGACTCAGTGTACTCCATCCCACTTATTAGAGACAGAATTTACTAATCTCTTGTCCTCTTGTTGTAGGCCTCTGGGAAGAGCATTTTGATCTTTCTGGGTGCAGGTGGACAGAACCAAGGCAGATTTGCAATCTACTTAACCCCACAACCTTTAGGTGGCCAAATAAAAGAGGTAGTCTTGTGGAGGTGTGCGAGAGCTGCTTTGGTGTGGACTGTTTGGGAGGAAAGGAATGCCAAAATCTTCAATGATAAGGAGAGGGATGAAATGGAAAGGAATTTGGTTCCACAAGAAACTGAAAATGTTGAGGTCCAAAATAAAAGAATGGAACAAAGATCACTTTGGGAGAATAGAGGAGCAGAAGTCCACCTTAAATTCCTGCATCGAGGAATTAGGCGAGAAGGAATCTCAAGGAACCATGAAAGAACAAAAGAGAGAGTTGAGGTGGTAGTTGAAGAAGGAGCTAGAAGAGGTCCTCTATAGAGAGGAAATTTCCTGGAGGCAAACAGGATTCATGTAGCTGACCCCACGTAGTTGGGATAAGGCTTGGATGATGATGATGATGATTCTATTAGTGTTTTTTCCTACTTTTTGAGTCATATTCTACTTTATAAAGGGGCCATTACATGGTGTAATGGTAAAACCTTGGTCTGCCTAGTGTGAGAGCAAGGGTTCAAGTCTGAGGGCGGCCACTTTATGCTGCCAAAGGTTAGGACTACCTAGTCTACCCCTCCCAAGACCACAAATAGCTGGAACCAACATTGTGTAATGGCCTTTTTTATTCTATTAGTTTATTACTGTAGTTCATGGCAATTGTGTTGCTAATTCAAAGTGATCAAAAAAAAAAAAAAAAGAAAAACAGTGGTGCCAATTGAATATATTGTGATCCTGATTTCAAAATCCATTTACACCTTGTTAAAAGTGAACATGGCCTACCAAGAGAAATAAAGATACACATGTAACTCTTTTAGTGACTTTTGGAACTTATGAGCCTAAGGGGCCATAACAGCTGAAATGGCTGAATTTAATGACTTACTGCTTTTATTTTAGTGGATAAAACAGTTGTATAATAAAATATTTAAGAGTACAATACTCAACCCAACATGCTTTTCATTTTACATAATATACAAAGAAAGGTTACCTGGGTGACCAGGGTTCAAATCTTGGAAACAGCCTCTCTGTGTGTGCAGGGATAGGGCTGCACGCATCTATCCCTCCCCAGACCCCACATTGGCGGGAGCCTCATGCCCGAGCTGCCATTTTATACAAATAAAGGCCATTACTCAATATTGGTCCCAGCTATTTGGGTTCTTTGGACAGGTAGGCAAAAACCAATAAAAGAAAAACACCACCAATTATTATTATTACTATTATTATTATTATTATTATTATTATTATTGTTATTATTATTATTATTATCCATGTGCAAGTCATGTAGCCATGTACCCATTGCTAGCAAGTAAAAAAAAATGAGAATACATCACCAAGCCTACCCAGATAGGGCAAGACAATCCAAAACCCATATCAGGTACAATGTGGGAAATGGGGATAAAATAAAATTCTGGACTGATGTTTGGTGGGGTGACTCTACCTTGGCCACTTCCTTTCCTCGCCTCTACAGCCTTACCCATAACCAAGAATCTCACATCTCTCTTGTATTGTCCTCATCCCCTTCTCAGTTCAACTAGAACCTAGACCTTAAAAGACCTTTGAGTAGGGCTGTTCACGGGTCGGGTTGGGTCGGTTTACTGGCGTTTTTCCAACTGACCCGACCTGGTTGGTTTACCTAGAAATGAAACCGAAACCAACCCTGTACTAAGTAAAACCGACCTGGTCAGTTTGGGTCGGTTTTGTGAATGATTCTCTCGGTGTGAACGGTAAAGGATTCAAGTCTAAGAAGCGAAGGCTGGATGCCTGGAAATTAAAAATGATTTGATGGATTAAAGCTGAAATTTTATATATAATATGTATATTTCCGAAATAAAGCTGATATATATATATATTTCACAAATATATATCTGAAATATATATTAAAACTGAAATATATATATATATATATATTAAAACTGAAATATATCAGTCGGATATATTATATATATATATAATATCTAACCATCGGTTTATGTTTTTTTGTAACCTGAAACCGACCGGTGCTGAAGAAAAACCGGCCAACTCGGGTTGGATCGGACCGGGTTGGTCGGTTTGGGTCTTGTTATGAACAGCCCTACCTTCGAGAGACAATGAACTCGATGAAATAACTAGATTTCTATACATTCTCAGAGAAGTATACCTTTCTCCAAATACCCCCGACATCGAGTCTGGACCCTACACCTAGCCGGTAAGTTTTCAACTAAGTCCTGCTTCAGGGCTCTAATCGAGGAAGAACAGGCAACTGTTCAATTCCCCTTCAAGAGAAATTGGTGCGCCCATATTCCCTCCAGAGTTGCTTTTTTTTTGTGTGGGAAGCTAGTCTGAAGAGGATCAACACTTTTGACCTCCTCTAGAAAAAGAACCATGGAAGGTCCTGTTTATCCCCACATGTATGCTGCTTCTGCTTAAAAGCCAGGGAATCATCCAATCACATACTGATTCGCTGCGAGGAAACCAGGAAATTTTGGAGTTTCTTTCTCAATCTTCTCAGTTATAGTTGGTCCTTCCCAGAACATGTGATAGAATGTCTCAGACAATGGACAACAAGAGGTTTAAGCAAAAGAGGGAAGATTTTGTGGCTTTCAGTAGTTCATGCTATCCTTTGGAGCATTTGGGAAGAAAGAAATAACCGTATTTTCAACAACGGAATAAGAAACCACGAGGAGCTCTTGTCTATCATTTCCTATAGATGTTTCCTCTGGACAATCAGAGTTTTTTAAAGGAGTATCCATCTCTGTTTTTCAAAGAAATGCCACAGATTTCTTATTTTCTAAACACTTGTCTTTCACCACCACCCAATTCCACAGATCTGTAGAGGAAGGGGAGATAACCCTGTACTTTAACAGAAGCGCAATTGGAAACCCAGGTGCAGCAGGAATTGGTGGAATTTTTAGAAGAAGAGATGGTACAATCAATTGGGCTTTCAGTGGACTGATTGGAATAGCCTCTTCAACAAAGGCTGAAGTCATGGCAACCTTAACTTGAATCAGGATTGCAAGAGATTTGGGCTACCTGAATATACTCATATAAGGAGATTCTGCAAATACTATTAAGTGGTTATCTGACCATGGCAGTGGTTCCTGGGCTTTAGCTCATTATTTGGCTGAAGCTACAGATATCCTCTCTAACTTGAATGCACAGTTGGGCTGGATCCCTAGGGAGCTGAACTCTTCTGCTGATGGCCTTGCAAAGAGTGGTGCACACAGGGGTTTCTTGTTTAGTGATAGATTTCTTCCTATTTAATCTTTTTGAGTTGTAATTTCTGTGTGCATCTACTCATGTACCTCCTGCCTCTTGAATAAAGTTACCATTCTTTTTCAAAAAAGAAAACCATCTTGGGAGAGAAGACCCCATTGCAATGCCCCACACCACCTTCAGGCAGAACCTGGTAATTCTTAAGGGATCTTCAGCATGATTGACAATGTGTTTTCTTTAGATTTGTTTATTTTTCTGTGTTTTCCTTGTCTTTGTATTTTTTATTTTCATAGTTCTCTATCATGTACACCATTCATCAGTTTGCCAAACATTCACTTAGTTTGCAGGGAAACACAAGTATTTTGTCATTCTTCTTTTTATTGTTAGCTAATTTTATGAATTTTTGCAATCACAAGGCAATTGTTTTTGCTTTCTTCTGCAGAATAGAACTGTAAAACAAACTGGTTTACTTTCATGGGGACCGAAGAGCCTAAAGACTTGTTGAAAGGGGTGGACTGGAAAACAGTCGGTGGTGACATAGGTAATGGTTCAAGTGGTGGACCTGTCACCAAGAAGCGACTCCCAAAAAAAATTAGACAAGTCCCAGATTACTATTTTCTCCCTCGAAGATCCATACCTTCGGCCATTGCACTCTATGGAGCAATCTGTGCAGCTGGAGTTGGTGCAGGGATGTTGGTTGAGAAATGGATAGACAAGAAAATAAAAGGTATGTTTTGCAAACCATTGGAATAGAGCACCGGAATGTTGATGTCTAGGGGGCAGTGCTGCTGAGTTGCAGTTCACAACCTGGGAAAAAGCAGTAAGAAAGCAAGTAAAAAATGAATAAAAAGATACTAGTCCAAGATATTCTGGATAGTTTCCCTAGTCTGTAACGCTACATGGTCTGTACATAATAAGACTGGACCTACCATTTGATGGGTAGGACTTATATGCCAATGGGTGAGGGTGGGCCTTGGTGCAATGGTTGGGTTGCTCTATTGCGACCTGGGTGACCATGGTTCAAATCTTGGAAATGGCCTCTCTGTATGTGCAGGGGCAAGGCTGCATACATCTGTCCCTCCCCAGACCCTGCATTAGTGGGTGCCTCGTGCCCTGGGCTGCCCTTTTACTTATATACCAAGGGGTCTGGGGTCCCCTGCATAATAGGCCATAAGACCATTACCTAATATTGGTCCTAACTATCTGGGGTCTTGGAAGGGGTACACTGGACCTGGATATGGTCTTAATCTTTGGCATTTGCTCTCTGATTCAAACTCGTGTTCTCACTTGCCAGCGCAGGGTGTTACTATTGCTCCTACATAATAAGTACTTAATTAGTTTTGATGATTGCAGCTATTCAATCTAAGGAACATTGGATGCATCCTTTGGTTTCTGTGATAGGGTGGACTTTTATAATCATCAAATGCAAATCTTTTTATTTTGGACTGGTGTACTGGTATTGTCACCGTGACACCTGATCTGATTGTACTTGTTTTCTTTTTAATAAAATCATTTTATCCTTACTCTTCGAAAAACAAAAAGTAATCATCTATCAGATTGGTTTTTGTGGGTATCTTTGTTGGTAGCTTTCATTGGTGGTTTCACTCCTCGGATTTCCATTTGTAAAACTTGGATTGTGCAAGTCTCTCCTATTTGCTATTGCTGAGCAAATTTATGATTGAACCTAGAAACCCTTGTTTTCTTTCTATTTTTTCCTTTGGGATTGGGGGGAGGAAAGTGCAGTCAAGAGTCATTTGATAAGTGAGTAAAAGTTTTGACTGATAAAAAAAAGTAAAGGTTTGGACCCAAACATCTATGTTCATGGTTTGAACCTCCATTTTACTTAAGATAATTGGTAAGGTGGCATGTAATAGTTTTGTTGTTCAAGGGTCCAAAGTACACTAAGCCAGTCCCTGAGGATCATCATACTTGGCCAGGCTATAGCATCTGAACCATTGAAAACATGCTCTAGGATTTATGTTCCACAAATCATATCTCCTTAGGTATGTTTGAATTGCTAAGATGCTAGAACCAACCAAAAAAATTGATGGTCCAAGGATTGGCTTAGTGTTTTCCTCCAAAATATTGGATCAAAAGTAGGTAGGTATGCTTTCTATTTTCTTACTTCTGGTTTGAGGTAGATCATATGCTAATGCTCTTCTCAATCGTTGCAGAGGATGGAGGTATTGTTTGGGAGCTGGATAAATAAAAACTGAACTGCATTAGAGGAGTTTAGCATTTTTGTATCTTTTGGAAGGTAGTGAAGATAAAGGTACATACTATTTTGCTGTTTTGGAGTTTTGAGCTACTTCTCTAATTAGTATATCAGAGGCATTCAAGTCCAAAACATAGGGAATCTATGCTAATTTGTGATCCTTTTTAGCTTATTTTCTTGAAGATGGGAAGTATCATGGATTTCTTTGCTACCTACCATTAGAGGCAAAGGGTATATGAGTTTTGGTAGGTTGACTAACTTGACTTTATGTGATGTTCAGCCTTCCCGTGCAATTGCAAATCTGCAACTGAATCTCAGGCCCAGGTTGTACAGGTTCAATTTATTGGACATAATATCCTAATTCCACCTATGTGATCTAAGAAAAGTGGTAAAGCAAAGAAAGGACCTAATTTGCAGTGCGAATTTCATTTGTATTGGTGTAAATGCATGGAAGTGCAAACAAGCTGAATATAAATTCTGGTTTACTTTTGCTTTAGATTTGATTTTGTCTTTTGTTCGTGAGAATCTACATCTATATTAGAGAAGAGTAAAGAGGGGTGGTGAGAGGTCCTCACCATAAGCTCAGATGGACCTCCTCCACTCTTTTTTTTTGAAGAGTAAAACAAAATTTTATTAAAAAAGAAAGATTACAAAAGAAAGGTGACAAGTTATCAGCCGCAATCACAAAGTACACCCAAAGAAACCAAACAAAACATACTAGAGCTCAAGCTGCCAAAGCTCCAACAAACTCGATCAAGGACCTACTAAAACACCCTCTTATCCTTGAGCCTAAATAGTCCAACACACCTCCAACTCCTTCAAAACCAAACATCAGCAAGCAACATCCCTCTCTTAATCCTCCCCCTCGAAACCTTCCTCCTGTCCATCATCTTCTTCATTCAAAACCTCTCAACCTCCCCTAATTATGACTTTTTTCAACCTCTCTTCTTTCCTTTTCCTCTTGAACTCCTCAAAGGCTGTCCTAGCAAACCTCTCACCAGTCATCACCCCCACAAAACAACCATGCTTCTTGCCCACCTTTACATCTCTTTTGACAAGTTTCTCAATAGCTAAAATTTCCTGTCCTTTCCTCTATATTTTTTTTTTCCCAGAGTTTGGAACCACCACAACTCTGACAGGAACAAACACTATTACAATGTTGTCAGTGAGGGGGTTAATTTAGGTGTAAATTTTCTGGATGTTAGGGGTGTGTTGGTCCAATTTGAAGACCGACGTTACTATATTGGGAGGTTAATCCCCAAGACAGTCTTCCCATTCCATGATCTTTGTTGGGTTTCACATAGTATTTGGAACATGAGTGTTGAGGAAGTTATGTTTCATCCTCATCAAAGAGGACATTTTTGAGCTTTGTTTTGAGAGGTTCATCATTTTGATAAAGTGATTATGGATGGTCCCTGGTATGTTTTCGATCAATGGATTCTTATTAAAGACTGGAATGTTGGGCAAGTTTTTTCTATTTCTCTTACTAAGGCAAAAGTTTGGGTTTAGATTCATGATCTAATGATTATATTGTTACTGACATTGGTTCAACGATAGGGAAAAAATTGGGAGTGTATGTTATTCAAGAGGAAAGTTTTATCTTTGAGTTAAGGTGCAAATATCTTTAAGCCAACCTTTAAAATATGGGATCTTTTTATCTCCTATTGTTTGGGCCATCTTTCATTATAAGGAGCTTGCTTATTTCAGCTACCATTGTGGGGAACTAGGTCATTACTTTTGTAGTTGTCACTTAGGTCCTCTTCCTAGTGTTGGTGATCTTGATGTTTTCTTCAATTCAAGGACCATGGTGTGTTTTGAAAGCAAGTTGGGAAAGTTCTAAGGATGGAGATGGCAAATTAGATGGTGTTGGTGGGGTAGAATGTTAAACAGTGTATGCCTTTAGTTCCAATAAGATTGATGTACATAAAACATTATGAGTGAATGAATGAAATACATTATTGTTTCATGTTCTAATCAGTATGCTTTTTTGTGAATTACTCCTTAAACTGGATACTTACGAAACTCGTGTTAGTTTAGAATGTTCTCAGCCACTGGATAAACTTGAAGAGTTTATCTTGACAAGACTAACATTAGTGTGTTGTCGAACTGGTGGAACAATTTGCCTCAGCTGCTAGGGTTAGACCCCAAGCACATCCAGTGGGTGTTTAGAATAAACATTGAACCCGAACCAATTTCCAATTATGCCCTGGACCTTGGAGATGGATGGGCAAAACTCGAAAATTGCACTTAACCCCAGACTTAATTATGATACTGCATTAGGTATTGGACTGAGCTGTTTTTGATGTGCCAACTAGTGAAGTCCATCAAGGGTCAAATGCTTGGGCATGTTGGGGCAGTTTGGGAAATTACTTGAGTGGGTGATCATAGTGATATGATCAACCCTTTTGTCAAGCAAAGTGAATATCAAGCTTTACACTTTCTAATGGAAACCTAAACTACAGGTAGTGGATTTCAACTGTATTTAAAATCTGATTTTCAAAATGTATCTATATGTTATATTACTATTTTATGAAAAAGGTTTTAATCCCGGGATCCATCCAAGTAGAGAGTGTGATACTGTGTTTTGCAGTCAAGAAAGAGGTCATTCCCTGTAGGCAGTGTTCTAATGATTATGGGCCGAGAGGTAAAGTGTAAGAGACCATTATAGAGCTGATTACCTGATGAGTTTTATCTTACATAAGTCCATTATCCTTGGGTCTTCATAGGGTGGCTGAATCCAATGATCATTTATGTTTAAATGTTAGGCTCAAACTGAGCTCAAGCTGATTGGGTCAAGGATTCACTACCTTAAGCAGTGAATTCGGTCAGGGCCGAACCCTTATGGACTTGTGTGAGACCTTTGTACAGTATTCAGGCCCAAAGTGGCCATGCAACACCTTGAGATGTGAACCATTAGAGAAAATGGGCCCAAGGCCCATTACTAATATGATTAGTTAAGTGATCACATGACAACTTAAATTGTCATGTGACTTGGGTTGAAAATGGGCATGGATCTGGGTATTGAGCACCTACCCTTTTAAGAGGATAGTGCTTATCGATTAAAGATAGAGCCCTGATCCAAATTTGATTTGGATCAGTTCCTAATTAGATTAGGAGAGTACTCCATATAAAGGAGAAAGAAGGGAGAGTTATTCATCTAATTCTCCCTACTCTCTTATTCTCTCATCTTCTCCCTTGCCTCCCAAAAACCCTAATTTGACCTAGCATTGTTAGGGACTGATTTCTATCAGTCATCCACTGTGTTTTTGCAAGAAAAACATCAGGGTGTATCAGGTTCACAGAGCCAATTTGATCCAAGCAGGTTGGAGAATAGTGTTTGAATGATGTTGTTGAATTGGCTTCACATACACACTGTGCCATCTTCAGTTGGAGGTCAATTTTGGGACTGATATTGGGCATGAACTACTACAACTCTGAGAGTTGTGTTTTGTGGTTTTTGTGTCAAGTATGACCAGTTTTAATTTGGGTTTCAAATCTGGTTTGGTTCAGTGCAAGATCGATCCAAAAATTTCAGAATTCAAAATTACCGGGAAATCGATTGCCGGGTTGGGTTAGAAAATTTTTGTAAATTCGGCCAACCACCAAACCTGGTTCGGTCATGTCAAACCTGATTTATAACCCAACATAGAATCCTCTAGAGTTGCAGGGGGTAGGCTGGTGACGTATTTAGTAATGATAGCCTGATATGGCATGGCGGCTAAAAGTCTTGAAAGTGACCGGGAGAAGCTGAAAAGGAGTCACAGATTTTAGATTTGAGATTTCCCCACCTCCGAAGTCAAATAGATATGACTATTCTAGATTGGACCTACCTTGGGAAGTGAGGAACAAGCTACTTATAGAAAGTGACAGAGGACTGATTCAGGTATTTGGATTTGAGAACTGGGTGAGGGTTTGGGTCTTGTTACAGTTAAGACCCATCCTATAGGGACAGTGGGTTAGATTATGGAGGGTTGCTTTTTTGGTGTTACTTTAGTTGTTATTTTTGCTTATTATGTTACGTGTTTTTGGATTTTGATCTTTATGTTAGCAGCAGTAGGGGAAAAATTGTAGAGCTCGGATGGGGGATTATTGGGGAATGATGCTGATGTTCAGGTGAGATTTTTTATTTATGATTTTATCTTGTTATGGTTGGTGATGGCTACTTTTTTTCTTTTTTTGGGGGGCGGGGGGTAGCCACCCTCCGGCAGTTCGTGGTTTAAAGGGCTTAGTTTCTAGGTGGAACCTTGATGTTATTTTTCTAAACGAAACTAAGATTCCTTGTGATAAGGCTACTTGCTTGAGCAAAGTTACTAAGTTCCCATATTCTGTTGATGTCCCCTGAATGGTCTGGCTGGTGGTTTACTTGTGATTTGGAAAAATGGGTTTGATATTTCATGTTTTCTCATGTAATAGAGATATTGTACTTAAAATTGAGTCTCAACCTTTGTTTTCCCCGTGTCTCCTTGTTTGCTTTTATGGGGAGTCGGAAGGGCATTAAAAGGAATTGTTTTTGGACTCAAGTTTATGGTAGACTTTTTGATCAATAAGTTTATGAGAGATTTTCTAGTTGGAACTATCCTTTTGTTATTATAGGAGATCTTAATGAAGTTGGAATGGTAAATGAAGATGGGTCTATGTTTTCTATTGATGTGGTTGGTTCTACTAAGTGTAGAGTGTCCTCAGCCCTTGTTAATATGATTCGAGACTTGGATCTTCATGAGATTAGACTAGAGGAGGGTTCACTTGGTAGAAATTTGTCCAGGGTAAAGGACATTTGGCCTGGTGGCTATCTATCTATCCTAACTTTGTTTTAGATCTAGGGCCTAAGTGGGATCACCATGCTTTGATGCTGTATCTCTCTCCCCAAATGGTTAATAAGCTTAATCCTTTTAGGTTTTATCAAATGTGGCTTACTAGAGAAAAGTGTAGAGGTTATTAAAGATGGGTGGAACTACTTTATAAAATGTTTAGATGGGTGCCCCACAGAGCGTACCTTACACATGCACGACAACACATCACTCCCGTGCCTTGAGAACATCTCCCATACATGCCATGGGGAGATTTTCCAATGCACAACAGTCATGTTCTGTGGGGCGCCCATGCGAATTCCTCAAGGGTTATGCAGCTTTCAGGATAGCCAAAAAAATTGGAAAGGTTGAAATGGAATTTAGGCAATGGAATAAAGACTATTTTGGGAATTTTAATAAAAGGTTAATCCATATAAAGAATGAAATTGAGGAACTCGAAAAGGGTCCTTTGGATGTTCATGTGGGGAGCAAGCTAATGGAGGGGGGAGAGAGATTATTTGTTGCAATGTAAGGAATTATATTGGAGATAGAACTTTAGGCAAACTTGGCTAAAGGTAGGGAACAAAAATACGATCTTTTTTCATTGTTTTGCTTCCATCAACAAAGGAGAAATAAGATTATTTGGATGAAAGACGAGGCTGGGAACTGGATCTCGAGCCATGGTCAAATAAGTGACTTAATCATAAGGCCTTTCAAAGAGTTGTATAGCTCTCAGGGGTGTCTAGATGAGTTGATCTTTTTACCCTTGTAATTTTGGAGGAGTATAACTTGGTTTTGACTCAGGTCCCTTAGGAGGAGGAGATTGAATTAGCCTTGTTTAGTATTGGGAATCTTAAGGCCCTAGGACATAATGGGTTCTTGCTTTTGTCTTCAAAGTTTTTTGGATGAAGGAAGATATAATTGGATTTGTTTAAGATTTTTTTTAATGGAAAGTTTATGAGAAAACTTAACCACACTTGTATCATTTTAATTCCTAAAAATTTAGATAGTTCTTAGGTTAAAGATTTTTGTCCTATTAGCTTGTGTAATGTTGTTTGTATTGTGTAAAAAAATCTCTCTTTTTCAAAATGGTTTTATTCCTAAGAGGCAAATTTTAGATAACGCAATTATGACCCATGAAATCTTGCATTATATGAAGCATAATAAAAGAGAGGATGGGTGCAATGTTTTAAAAACCGACCTGGAACTGAAACTACTTTGGCCATTGGTTTTCAGGTCAGTGATTTGACCATTTGGTTCGAACGAATGGCTCATTCCAACTTTAAAAAATTTAAAAAATAATTAAAATAGAAGGCTAAAAACTGTTGATTGGGTTGAACGGGTTGACCGTTTGACCACCTGGGTCAATTGGTCGTTGATCAAGTCAATGGTTTTTGGCCAAAGAACGGGTTTAGGGTGAAACAGAACCAGTTGATTGAATGGTTCCTGGGCCAAACGGTCTGATCATTTGGATCAATAACGGTTAAAAAACACTGGTTAGGTCTATTGCCATCAAAGTAGATATGATGAAAGCCTATGACCGAATAGAATGGGATTTGATTATTCATGTCATGAGGACTTTAGGCTTTTCTGATCTTTAATGTAACGTAGTTTACTTGTGTGTTTCTACTATTTCCTTTTGTGTTTTGTTGGACTAATGGGGATGTAATTTGCTCTCCTAAATTTGAAGGTCTTAGCTTAAGGAGAGCTAAAGATATTAATAGAGCTTTTCAAAAAAGTAGCATAGAAATTCAAACCTTTTTTTTTTCATAAATTCAATTAAGAGAAAGCATTATGGGTTAAATTGTTGAAACATAAGTACTTAAGCAATAATTTATTCTTTCCTTCAAAATCAAAAAGGAATTTTTCTTTCTTTTGGAGATCCCTTTCTACAGCTTTATGGGAAATTTACCCTTTATGGGAAAAACAATAGAAGTGAAAGGTTGTAGAGCAATTTTTGAACCCTAAGTGGTTGCTGAGAACGATGGAGATGAAAGATTGTAGAGAAACCTTCCAACCCCCCACCCCTGACTAGCTACTGAAAATGACTGAGAAATTTTCGATCCCAAAATGTATCCTCATTGATGACTCAATTGGTACATCGACCTAACCCACCCTAACCTGTTGCCCCCTGACCCTATTGGGTCACTTGTTCCATACTAACCCGCCACTAGAATGGGTGGGTCAAAATTGCCAATCTATTAATCATGTGGTAAACTAGTGAATGACCCCGTACTAAGTACGTGGAATCAGTAATGTTAAATTTACATTATGGAATCAATATTGTTAAATTTATATTTATTAATGTTTTAAATAATTATTAAAATTTCAAGAAATATTTATTTCAAAAAATAGCTTTTCAATAATTATTAGAATATGGATAGTTTTCTTTTGTTATGATACGTAGAGGGTTAATGATTAACTAAGATTGATAGAATGTAGGTAGAAGTGGTTGTAGATAACCACTTTTGCATTTTCTGCATTCTTTTAGGAATGGATTGAAAACGGTGGTAGTGGGTTGTGAGCTTTAGCAACAATTTCTCAGAAAATGACACGTGTCTAGCTTTCTAGAAAAATGAGAAGACCATGTGTTTGAATGGTGTGAGCTTTGAATTTCTCAGAAATTGTCACATGTCTAGCTGTTTAGAAAATGAGAAGACCACTTATCTGAATAGTGGTAACCACGTATTGGATGCCTTTGTCTAAAAGAAGAGGTGGCCATGTGTCTTAAAGAGAAGCTCTCTAGTTTGAGGATCGACTATTATTTTGATATATATTTTTTACTTATGTATGCTTATCATTTTTGTTTAACACCCATTTTTTATTATTTAATTTAAGAGATTAAATTAAGTTTTATTTTTATAGAGATGAGAAACAGTTATTTAGTTGCTTTTTATTTAATTGCCCCCACTTTTGAAAGAGTGGTTTGTCACGTGGCTAAACTTAAAGCCTCCTAATTGTAAGTGGAGTGTGGAGTTAACCACTCTCAAAGAATTCTATTTAAAAATGGGTCCGACTATGATATGGAAAACCATATCGTATGGAAAATCCCTTGTAATTACCGAATTTACTATATTAACCGGTAATTAATTATTTTATATTATAATTAAAATTTAAAATATTTAAAAAAATATGAACTTTTTTCCCAACTCCTCCCTATCAGTGAAACAGTTATACCCCTTGGCGCAATTTGAAACAGGAGAACCCGTCCACCAAAGCTTTCTTTCTTTCAGTCATGGCGATCAAAGCCAAGTTTCCTTTGTGTTTCTTCCTCCTCTCTCTCTCTTCCTTTTGTCGGCAGCTTTGTCACTGGCTTACCTGCTGAAACCACAAAGAGATAACAAGCAAAGAGAAGGCAGCCGAGAGGAGCAGTAGCAGGAGCGACATAAGAGTAACCCCTACTTCTTCGATGAGCAGAGATTCAGCTCTCGATTCAAGCTTCTGAGTGGTCTAGATAACTACCGCTAGGCTATCCTAGAAGCCGAACCTAACACTTTCCTGATCCCCCACCACTGGGATGCAGATGTTGTTGTCATCGTTGTTAAGGGGAAGGCAACAATCAACTTGGTGCACAATGATAACAGGGAATCCTACAATCTTGAGTGTGGAGATGTAGCTAGGATTCCTGCTGGAATGATGGCCTACTTGGTGAATAGAGACGACAACGAAAACCTCCAGATAGTCACACTCTTTAGGACCATCTCAACTCCCGGCCACATCTCGAAATTCTCCAGCGCCAGCAGCGAAGATGGGGAATCATTCTACATTGCATTTAGCAATGAAATCCTGGAAACCGCTCTAAATACTCCAAAAGACAAACTAAAGAGATTGTTGGGAGAGAAAAGGAAGGGAGTGATGAGGGAGGCGTCAAAGGAACAAACTAAGGCCATGAGCGAGCAGGCTTCTTCATCATCAGAGGGCGGGCGTCGGTGGAGCATACACAAAAGTGAGACGAGGAGCCCATTCAACCTGTTGAAGAAACGCCCCATCTATTCTAACAGCTATGGACAACTCTACGAGGCCCAACCCTACGACTACCAGCAGCTCAAAGACCTCGACGTCTCCGTCATATTTAGCAACATCAGCCAGGGAGCCGGAGCAATGCTAGCTCCCTTGTACAACACAAGGTTGACCAGGATAGTTTTTGTAGTGAAAGGGAATGGATGGTGGGAGATGGCGTGCCCAGACATCTCCAGTTAGAAGTAGAGAGGAAGAGAAGGAGAAGGTGATGGGGTGTAGTATGAGAAGGCCAGTTCCCGTGTGTCTTCAAATACAGGTTTCATAATTCCACTGGGGCATGTGTTCACCGTCGTTGCTTCCGAGAAAGAGAATTTGCAGATAATTGTATTTGGGATAAACGCCCAAGATAACAAGAGGAATTTCATCGCTGGTAAAGAACACAACGTGAGGAAACAGATGGACAAGGAGGCCAAGGAGCTGGCTTTTGACATGGGAGGAGTCGTTCTTTGTTCCTTGTCCCCTGAAGCAGAAGCAGCGCCACAAACATGATAATGGTGGACGACTGTTCTCCATCTTGGATTTCGCCGGTTTTTAGATAAACTGTAATTTGTAGGATGTAGGAGATAGACCTACTACTACTACTGCTGCTACTTAGTACGTATTAGAGTCTGGCTAGAGTGAGTAAACATCAACTGTGATCCTTTTTGTAGAAAGAAAACAAATGAGCGAAAGCTTCTGCTTTCTAGTTTTGCTCACCACCTATGAAATAATAATGAAATGAAGGCTCTTTTTGGTAGTTCAAAAAAAATCGAAACAGGAGAAGAATTCTGTTCGAAAATCGATGACTTCTCAATTCTTCCGTTTGAAAATGACTGTCTTCTTCCCCGTGCTCCTCCATTCGTCGTCCGGTAGATTATTCCCCAACGTCTTCTTCCCCATTCTCAAAAAAAGAACTTTGTTTGAAAATCAATGACTTCTAAGCTCTTTCGTTTGAAAACAACAACTGTCTTCTTCCCCATGCTCCTCTATTCGTCATCCAATAGATTGTTCCCCACCATCATAAAATTATTACCGCTATACCCCTGAATGCAACAATAGGAGAAGAAGAGCTCTGTTTGAAACTCGACACCTCTATTCCTCCGTTTGAAAACGACGATAGTCTTCTTCCCTGTGCTCCTCCATTAACCATCTTGTAGATTGCTCCCTGCCATCTTCTTCCCCGTGCTCAAAAAAAGGAGAAACGAACTCTGTTCGAAAACGACGACTTCCCCGTGCTCCTTCATTCTCCATTCGGTAGACGACTTCTCTTGCTCCCGACTGTCTTTGTTTGTCAGAGGCCCCCCTGTACTAGTCGTCCGAGGCAGCCGTTCTTCACCTTCAGAAGTGAGCTTTTCCGGTCATCGTGCACCCCCATCCGCTAGAGCGGCTTTCGGGTGACGTTTAACAGTGAAGACGTTAACGTCTTTCTTATATTGAAATGAATTTCTTTTTTAAAAATATAATTTAAATGGTTGTTTTTAAAGCCGGTTAAGTTTATTCACCGAAACAGAGAAGGCGAATGTTGATTGGTGGTCCATCTCATCCGATACGATATAGAAAAGATACTTTTTCCATATCATAGATTTTCCCTTAAAAAATGGGAGCAAACCACTTTCCTAAATTAATAGAAAGTCACATGTCTGAATAGAGGGGCTCTAATCGACCACATTATTATAGAACCAATTTCAAATAAACCCTCTAATGACATGTCATGTACCCAGAACCAACCGGAGTAGCAATATAGGCCATCTTGTTGATCATTAAAATCAACAACTCTGCTTAGCATGTAATTTGACAATAAACTTAAAAATTTGGTAAATCAACACATTTAGGGGTGTTCTATAATGGGAATTCTTTTCCCTGTTGCTGGTTTCAAAAGCAAATAAAGTAATCTAGTTTGAAATCTGATTGTTTTTTAAACAAAAATACAAAAAAAGAACATGCTATTGGTTGTGTATGTGTGTATGTGTTTTTTTCAAAACTGAAACCACAAATATGTTTTTGAATTTCTGGTTTCGAAGTCATGTTTTCATCCATTTGTTTGCACTCTTCCTAAATGGAGCCCTAGATAATGATTATATGACAATTTTACAAGCTTACCACGAGAAACACAAGTATGAGACAAGATAAATGCTTGTAATCAGTTTTGGTCTTAATAGGTATGCAATAACCAAAACAAGGTTCAAAGTACCAATATGTATCGACTCGTATCAGTCGATATGTATCGTGTCAAGAGTTTTCAGATATGCCCCTACAGGGGTTGTATCAGGTTAGACCATGGTTCAGAGGGTAGTCAGGACTTAAATCGACCCCTCTGAATTGATTTTGAAAAAAATAAAAAAACATAAAAAAAGCATCAACACAGGTCGATACACTCTACTGACGTATTAGTCTATGTCGATATTTAGAACCTTGAACCAAAATGGTCGTGAGTCAATTATAATTGGAACAAATAAATGCAGACCAAGAGCTTATATAATTCAGCTGTAGGGACCAAGGTTCAAAGTATTGAAAATGCTAAGTGTATTGAAAAGACAAATTTAAGAGACGTATCGCGATATCCTTTGAATATACATGGGTACGAATGAAAAATTAAGATACCCATGAAAACACTATAAATATTCCAATAAGTCATAAATATACACCAGTAATATTAAATATAAGGCCTAAATGAGTTATATATACATAAAAATCACATTTTATAAGTGATTTTTATGAAAAAATATATCATAATCAACATATAGAAATATAAGGGTATACTTTAATAAGGTTATAACTACAAAAATATAAGCTTAATAATTAATTAGTAAAACATTTTCTTATTCAAACAATTATTTTCTTTTTATTAAAAAATAAAAATAAAATAAAATGTAATAGAAAATAATTTTATGGATGTGATAGATCATCCATAGATTTACAATATGGTAAGTATTATGGTTAGACCACACCAAAACTTACAAAAAAAAATATTTTACAATAAATTTCAATAGACCTATGAATTAAAAATTATAAAAATATATTTTTTTTTCTAAAATAACAAAAAGTTTTAAAATAAATATTTTACATTTTACAAAAAATAAATATTTTTCATTTTCAGTAATGAAAGTAAATATTTTTATTCCAAAAATTCTAAAAATAAAAATGAATATTTTAGAAATTTCAATAGATTTGTGGATATGGTAGATCACCCATAAATCTATGACACAATTATTCTTCATGGGCATATTACACCAAAAATATAAAATTTTATTTTTTGTTATTTTATATTTTTCCGAAATTTTCTTCAATAAATTAAATAGATTCATTAAAAGCATAAAATATTGTAACATAATATCAAATAAATTGAAAAAAATATTTATTTTTGCAATTTTTGTAAAAGGTTGAAAAAACTTTTAAAATATTGAGTTGTGGAGGTTGGTTTTTGGGTGTTTTTTTAAGATTTTACAATTTAAGAATGTGTAGGGATGATTTGGTGAGTTTGAGAGAGAAAGAAGACTTTTGGAAAGAGTTAGAGGTTTTTTTTCTCAAACATTTTTAATTCATATTTTGCCTATAAGAAATTGTACTGTATTGGCCGATACACCCCAATAAGGTTACAATACAGCCTTGATACACCCCGATACAAGTTCGATACGGTCACAATATGGGGTCAGTACGACAAAAAGACATGATACAAATGGTTTTGTAGCGTTTCCTGTATTGACCCCTTAAAGATACGATACATATGGGTGATGCATTGTGAAACTTTGAACGAACAATCTCTTGGAGACAATGAGATTTATCATTATTCTCAAGACAAGAAAATGAGCCCAAGACTATCCTTAGAACGCCATTGTATAAGGTCTTGGTGCGGAGAATACAAATATTGGTTCACTTTTGTCTTAAATTTCGCTTTACTTTGTTTTAGGTTTCATTTCACATTTTTATTTTCAATGCAAACAAACAAAATAGGAAAGAAATTGAATTGAATGTAAATCACTATTTGCACTCCCTTATATCTACATCAATCCAAATGAAATTACATGGCAAACATAGTTACTAACTAACGGTGGATGTGCCAAAGCCTATAAACAAAATGGAAAAGTACGGCCAGGCCCAATGCAGATTTCTGAATTCCACTGCAGAGTTATAAATATTCAAAATGTTAAAAACCCCATTTTATATATCAATGTCTGCCCGTGAATTGGCATCAAATCCAAGTTGGCATTCACCCCAACTGTATTTTGGGCTTAAAAATTTTGACCCTCGGCTGAACCGTCATTCTCCCTAAACAAAACAGTAGTACATTCCAAGATATGAGGACCGTGAGATTTTGAAAACCTTGGGAGGTGTACTATTCTTTTGGGAGCTCGTATTACCTATGACCATGGTCGTAAAATAATTCTGTGACTTCGGATGAAAAATGAACATGTCACCATTTGCAATTTCAACACATCCATATAATAATAATAATAATAATAATAATATTATTATTATTATTATTTCAAGTGGTGGCGTGCTCACAATTCACCAGTGGGTCCTTGAATTGTTATGTGGTCACAAACAACGTTCTGATTTGGTCCTCACAATACCATCTTCACACTGTTTTCACAGCCACTTGTAACTGTGCATTAAAAATATCTCCCACGAAAATATATAAATATGAAGGCGTTCAATACACAGCTTCAAAAGGTGAGGACAATTTTGTCCAAAGGACTAATGGAAGGGAATGCATTGAATTGATTAGCCACAAAGCCAAGGTCCCATGAATAGGAGTGTTCGTTATACGGTCCAAACCACCAAATCAAACCAAATTGAAAACGGCGGTTTGGTCTTATTTGGAATAATCTTAACTTTCAATTTACAGATCGGTTCAGTTTTTTTTTTTTCTTTTTTTGAATTTTAGAAACCAAACAACTGTAAACCAAACCAGAAAAAGCTTTAACCAGTCAACCTCCTCCCCATGTGAATTTTGATAAAACCCATATGATTGGTTCCCACTTTTATGATGTTGGGCTTTCTTTTTCTCTCTTTTGACAAATGATGTTGGGGGGTTGATTGATTACAAATTTTTTCAATACTAGTCCGGATCCATGTGATGCTTGGGCTTTGTTAAACAAAATTGAAGATGAGCATAATGACATTTCCAATTGAGATGATCCAATCCAATTCCAACTCATACATTATTTTTTAGGTTATGTCTAGCCAATCTAACTACAGTTCAAGTTGCACCTCCAATTCATGTTAAACTTTATTAACATTTATTAAATTCTATTCATTTTTTATAGAGTTTAAATTAAAAAAAAATAATTGTATAACTAACATTTTTTTAGTGATTGTTAATTTTTTCATCATCATCACCACCCATGCCTTATCCCAACTATATGGGGTTGGCTACATGAGTCCCATTTGGCCAATTTGTTCTCTTTAAAGTCATATCTCTTGTTAAATTATTAGTGCTTAAATCATTTATTACTACTTCTATCCATATCCATTTTATTTTACCTCTATCTCTTTTAGTCCCTTCCACTTGCAACAAATCACTTTTTCTAACTGGAGGTGTTGGTGGTCTTTTCTGCATGTGTATGAACCAGCTTAGTGTACGCTCTCTCATTTTATAATCTATTGGAGCTAGAGGTGTAAATCAGGCCATGCCGCCCGCAACCTGGCATGACGGCACATGGGCCGTGTTGGGCTTAGGTTTCTAGGTCCATGGGCTGGCATGACACGACACTATTGAGCGGGTCATGCTGCCCACATCCACGGTGCCAACATGGCCCAACCCTATATGTATAAAACTTTATTTTCAATTTTAGTATATTATTTCATTTTATTATTGCATATATAATCAATTATATACATCAAAATTCATATAAAATAAAAATTAAGATTTTTTTTTCAATTTTTTGTCTATTTTGTTAATTTATTTTAAAATTTTCATTTTTTTTTTAAATATACCTCTCATGGCTTGACCCAGTCTACGGCCCGACCTAGCCCAAGGCTCGGCCTGTGGCACGACACAGCTTGGCCCTACTTGGGCCCGTGCCATGGGTCATGCTAGGTCGGACCTTTGAAGTATCCCAAAGGTAGCAAGCATGATCCAACCTAGCCCGTATGACACAACTTGGTAAAAGCATGGGCCACCCCCGTAGGCTGTGCTAGGCCAACATGGCATGACCTGATTTACACCTCTAATTGGAGCTACTCCTAATCCTATCTTTTCTATTCTTTTCCACTCGTCCATCTTAGAATTCACAGTTCAGTCACTCATTTTTTGGACATATTTCTTCACCGCCCAACACTCTACTCCATACAACATAGCTTGTCGTACAATTGTCTAAAGAAATTTCTTTTTAATCTAAATGATATTTGCCTTCACACAAAAGTCCAAATGCACCCCTCCATTTTGCCCAATTTGTTTTAATTCTTTGGGTGACATCCTCCTTGATATCTCCCTCAAAGTACCTGAATGACTATTAATTTTATTAATAAATCCAAATTTGTTTATTTTTATTATTGTTAAATAATTCATATTGTTTTTGTTAAATTTGTTGAGTTTAAATAATTTTTTATTTTTATGAATAATTAAATTTTATTAGTGTTTACTTCATTAATGAAAATTTTAAATTAATATTTTATTAATTTATATTTTTATGAACTTCATTAATGAAAATTTTCTTTATCTATATAGTTGTATTAATTTTATTAATTAAGTTTATTTCATTTTAGAGGTATGTTAAGTTAACTGGTGTACATTTGGGAGGGTGTGCATGAAGTAGCTTCTAATATTACATGAGTTGAAAAACATGGAAAGCCTTGAAGCTAGGTTTGGGAAAAAAGCAAAAAAAAAAAAAAATCTAAAAATAAGCTTACATGGATTAAAAAATTGACTTTCCAACGAGGTTGTCTTAGTGCCTATTTTGTAGGGCTTTCACATGACTTCTAGAGTCGGAAGGTAACCCTCACACAAAAAGTGTTGAAGCCATGTTTGGTGAAAAACTTGGAAAATCAAAAATATGTTTACATGAGCTGCAAAATTGACTTTCCAGTGAAGTTATCTTTAGTAGCTTCCCCAAATTGGCTCCTTCAATGCAGCTCAATCAATGTTGAATCCCTCCCAAATTGACTCTCAAGTTAATTATGTTAGCCCCTTCTTGGGTGTGTTTATTGGATAAATAAGTGCTTATCTATACTACTTATAAAAGTGCAAATGAGGTAGTGGACTTTTAGAAATTTTCTTCACTAAACTACCCCTCTTGAATTTGGTTCATCTCCATTGAGAGGGCAAAAATTATAATTAAAATAATACTATTAAATACATTTAAGTCATTAGATAAATCACATTCTCTCATTGAATCCAACATTTGTACTTTTATTTATTATCATTAAATTCCACTAATAAATTCATACACAATAATTATTACAGTTAATTATACACTGTATATTTATGAAAATACTTAAATGTACCCTAAACTTTCAAAACTTTTTATATATACCTTGTAATATGGCCCCACATAACACAAATTAGCCATATATTAAAAAAAGTGTCAGAGCTATTAGATATGCCATTAAGTTTTTATAATTCCATTTTTACCCTTGTTCTTCCTTCCTACCCTCTCTCCAAACTGAATGAATGGATGCGATGCAAATATCAAAATATTGAAGAAGAAAAAGTTAGATTGTCAAAGACAACCAAATCTGACGAGAATAAATCAAAAGGCATAGTCATAGATCTAGAACAAGATGAATTTAAAACAAAAACAAAGTAGATCGAATGTTGAAAATATTGTTCATTCGTCAAGGAAATGTTATTTGAAGAAAATTAAGAAGAAAAGCGGCAACATTAAAGAAGGTATTTGAAAAGAAAAAGGAACCAAACCTCTAATACCTTTGATTTTGCTCCAACCTAGAACGGCAATTATATGATCAAATCCCATTGCTTCATTCTTTTCTCAAACACCTCCCAAGAATTACAACTATTCTAACATCCATACCGGTTAATAAACTCCTTTTGCCTTTAATAAACACCTTCTCCAACCCAAATTGACCTGTTCTAACAAATAAAAATAATAAAGAACCAATTTTATTGGTTACTCCAAAGGTGGAGTGCAGTGAGAGTTGAAGTTGTACTATTTTGTATCCTCATAAAGACTTACAACCAGAATCCCTTGGGTGAGATCCTTGCTGATTTCACTCATTTAAAGTTTTTGTACAATCTGTACCTCTAATTGTGCAGTCTTGGATGAATTGGAACATTTTCTAAAGATCAACAAAAGACATTGGTGGCCCCTTCGATGAATTAGAACTTACTCAAAAAACAGAATCATTCTTTATTCAAGTGATGTCTATGCAATTCAACTATCCAAATCAAATTGACCACCCCATGAATAGATAATAAAATTTTTAAATATAAATAAATATGGAAAATTACAAAAATTTAGAAAAAATATGCACATTTATGATATTTTTTATTAATCAAATTAAAAAACAACTGTAACAAACAAGAGTTATTTTTATTGATGATGAAAATGAAATATATAATCTAAAACAAAAATATGAAATTATTTTCCTATTTAGCAAAGATTAATAGTTAAACTTTTGGTTAAATTTGTCAACCTTTAATGTCATAATTAAATAATAAAAATTAATAAAATATAAAATACATAATAATAAAAAATACATAAGTTTTACAAAAAAAAATTGGGCACGTGTATAATATCATATATTTAACATATTAAACAAAAAATAAGTGTAACTAACAGTATTATTTTTACACACATGGAATAAAAAATTATAGAAAAATTGAACACATCTATAACTCCATATTTACACTACTATTGAAAATATGAATAAAATTGTGAAACTTTCTTTTGACTAAAATACTCATTTTTGAATCTAATCTCTATTTAATTGTGAGGTTTAAATTATAGTTTGAACTACAAATTTTACTTCATTAAAGTCTTCTTCTTTAAATCTTATATTTTTTATAAATAAATAAAAAAGTATATACTAAGAATATAAAATATTACAAAAAGAAGAGCCTAGCCAAGTAGGTATGCCTGCTAATGATACCCAAAACTTTGTATCCCAATATGTTGTGCTTATGTAATCAAATTTGGATTTTACAATCTACATTCGATTAATAATGAAGAACAAAGAATATAAAGAATATATATCTTTGGCATCATAGTAAAACCCTAATATATATAATATAATAACCTTCTAAGTTTCACCCCAATAGAATGTCCAAATCATATTAAAAATCGGACCAAACAGTTTGATCTGAATTCTTCTTTGAACCAAATTGGCCTGGACCATGGAGTTTGAGAACAATCATTGAGGACATTAATGTTATCCAATTAAAATGAACAATAGATTCAGGTTTGTGCATGCGTCGGGCTAAAATCAATTTCCTTCTTTTTTTGTTGAAAAGAGCGACTCATTCAGAAACAAGAGAACAACAGAAACAGATACAACAAAAGGCAAAAGCAAGACACTCATAGACCTAAACTTGCAACACAAGAAAAGAAACGACAACACACCTGCAACAAACAAGGAAGAGAAACATAACCAGGAAAAAAAAAAACAAAAAAGAGGAGACACACAACAACTACTGTCGAAAACTTAGGTTCTTTACTAACTTGATCAAACACCACAAAGTCCACCAACCATCTAGGATTGGTTTCAGTGAAATAACTCTGAGAAGACAAACCATGGATAGTTAGCTTATGTGCCACCCCATTAGCAGAGCAAGGCACCCAACAAAAATCAAAAGATCTTCCTTGAATCAGCTTCCTTAAATCTATGCATAAAACCAACAAATCATGGTGGAAATTCAGATCACAATCAAAAAGATTTTCTATTAGAGATTTACAGTCTGAATGAAAAACCACTACTTCCAAATTTAAATCAATTGCAATTTTCACTGCTTCAAATAAGGCTTTGGCTTTTGCAATCAAAGAAGAAGAAGCTTGGACCTGACTAGCCTTTGCAAAAAGACGTATGCCTGCAGAATCTCTAAAAACAAAACCAATTGAAGCTTTCCTTAGATTTCGAAACCCACTATCCACATTTGCTTTGGCAGAACCCGTTGCTCTTGAAGAGCTTTCCAATCTTAGAGGCAAGTTTTGAGATCTCTCCACTATAAATCTGTGAATAAAAGAGATAGCATCCAAAGGATTAGAATCAATTTTTTCATAATAGAAAGCATTCCTATCTTTCCAATTTCCCATAAGCAAATAGCACAATTAGCTAGATATCATAATTTTTTTATTCCGATCTCATTTAACAAAAGCATGAACTAACTATCAAACCTGGCCATATGGATGAGCTATTGTAGGTCAATCCTGATACCTGCCCCTAACCAGATGCACCTAGCTTTATCACAATATACTAGAGCATGCAAAGTGGATTTAGCATGATGGTTACATCTTTCACAAGTGGAGGATGAAGCTATTTTTCTGTTACACAATTCTCCTTAACTGCAGTATTGTTCAAGCAACATTTCCATAGGAAATCTAAAAATGTTGGCTCTACTTGAATCTTCCAAATTGCATTCCATCCTTCATGAGTGATCCTTGAAGTTTGAATTGCAAAATTCCTATTACCCTAATTTTTGAAAGCTACTGAATAAGCTGACTTGACAGAGAACAAACCCTTCTTGTTTGGATTCCATACCAATCTGTCTTCCCATAGATTTTCAGCGAGGTTAATCTGCATAATTTTTTCAGCAAGGGTAGGGGTGAATAAAGAGTTTAGTTTTTCAAGGTTCCATTCCCTATTTTCTTGGTTTATAAGGTCAAAAGCCAAGTCAATGTCGCTTAGCCTTGGTCTTGGACCTACAAGCTTAAAACCATTAACATATGAGATCGGGTCATCCCAAATTCTTATTTTAGTTCTTTTATTAATTTTCCAAACTGTCCCTTTCTCAATCACACCCCTCCCTTCCAACACACTCTTCCACCCCCCTAGGATTGCCCTCTTCTACCTTTGGTCTTTAAGAAGTGATCATTTGGAAAATATTTAGCTTTCATGGATTGAGCCCAAAGGCTAGAAGAGTCAAAACAAAGCTTCCAAGCTAATTTTGAGAGAAGGGCAATATTAAAAGTATGCAGATCTCTAAAGCCCAGCCCCCCAAAACCCTTGTTCTCACAAATTTTATCCCAAGACACCCATCTCGCTTTCTTTTATCCTCTGAATTCCCCCACCAAAAGATTTTTTGGACCTTACTAATATTGTTACAAGTTTTCTTTGGCAACAAGAAACAAGACATACAATAGGTAGGGATGGATGTGATTATTGATTTGAGCAACACTTCTTTCCCAGCTTGAGAGAGAAGAGCATTCCTCCGGCCCCTGGCCTTGTTTGCAACTTTTATAGTTAGATGTTCAAAAAGTTGATACTTCCTTCTATCTATTAAAGGATAGGTTCCTAAATAGATAGATGGATTATATACCTTTCTAACATGAAGCTTATGTGCCACCAACCTTTTAAGTCTAGGATGCACGTTGAGACTAAAGAAGACTTTGGATTTTGAGTAGTTCACCTATTGGCTAGAGGCTTTCTCATAGGAGCAAATAACATCCAATAATGCTCCTCCTTCCAAATCAGCCTTAGCAAAGACGTAGCTGTCATGTACAAAAAACAAATGAGAGATAACGAACTTGCTTGCAAATCTTGACACCAGAAAACCTTTTAGTTCTAAGTAAGCCATTTAATAAAGAGGAGAAAACATCAGAACATAATAGGAATAAATAAGGGGAGAGAGGATCCCTTTGTCTTAGCTCTCTTTGTAGCCAAATTTTCTTCGAGGGAGAGCCATTAATTAGAATTTGGTAGGATACCGAGGTCCAACTTTGCCCTAAACCCATCTTTTCCATTACTTTTTGAAGAAAATTCCACTCTACCTTATCATATTCCTTATTTATATTTAATTTGATTGCCATCCATTATTTCTTTGATTTAGATGTCTTCATATAGTGTAATACCTCATGAGCAAGTAGGATGTTGTTAGTGATCACTCCCCCTTGAATGAAGGCACTTTGATTATCAGAGATAATCTTTCCAGCTTCCCTTTGAGTCTATTTGCTAAGATTTTGCCAATTATCTTGTAAACAAAGTTGCAAAGGTTAATAGGCTGAAAATGTGAGGTTGACTTAGGGTTTTTATTTTGGGAATTAAATTTATAAAGGTGGAATTTATTTCAGAACTCAATTTTCCTTCCTTAAAAAATTCTCCAATTTCTTTTATAATGTCTTCTTTGACCAAGTTCCAAAACTTTTAGTAAAAAAGATTGGGGAATCCATCTAGACCTGGAGCTTTCCTCGGAGCCATAACAAGGCTTGGTGAATCTCATCCTCAATTACCTCTCTCTGCATATCTTCATTATCTTCTTCAAAAATTACTGGGTGAATATTGTTGATAGCCAAATCCACATCCGTAGAATTGGAGGTGGTAAAGATTTCTTCAAAGTAATCTGTAAAGAATTTTTTAATATGATCTTCACCTTCCATCCATTCCCCGTTACCATTCTTTAACTTTAGGACCCTATTTTTAGGTCTCCTCCTAATTGTAGTATTATGAAAAAATCTAGTATTTCGATCCCCATACATAACCAATTCACTCTAGATTTTTGGGCTCACATTATTTCCTCTCTCCTTAGAAGCATATCCAATTTTTTTCTACCTCTTTCATGGCTGGCTGGGAAGTTAAAATTAGAGCCATGTTTATTTTTCTCTCTTTCCAATGCTAGCTTTGCTTCCTCAATTTAACTATGCACTTTACCAAATTCTTCATTGCTTGCTCAAAACCCCCCTTAGCCTTTTGCACTTCTAGCTAACAGACTTACTCCCTCCACTCCAGCCGTCTCTAATAGTTTCCTCACATTTATTGTGGGTCAACCACATTTCTTCAAATCTGAAAGATTTTTTCCTTTTACTTCTAACAAGACAAGTGTTAAGATAGATAGGTAAATGATTAGATCCATACGACATTTGGGAAAAGACTACAACATCAGGAAAGAGTTTTCTCCAACTGGTATTACAGAGACCTCTATCCAACTTGGCCTTAATATTATCTACTCCTCTATTATTTGACCAAGTGTAGTTAGGTTTGTTTGAAGGAATTTCTTCAGGATCCCACTGCCCCAACATACCTCTATTTTGCTTTGATATTCTCATTTTTACCTGGGCACTCCACATTTATCATCCTTATGAAAGATCATGTTGAGATCACCAATGCAGAACCAAGGGGCACAAACCTTTTCTGCTAAAGCACTCACCTTCTCATAGAAATATTTTATTTTATTTTTTTTCTTTCTTGCTTCACCATATAAAGAGGTACACCGCCAAACCTTATCATCATCTTCTTGAATTCTGACATGAATAAAATTATTATCAGCAGCTAAAATGTTTAGGTTCACAAAATCATCCCAAAACATTGCCAGCCCACCCGCAATCTCTCTTGAATCTACTCCCCAACAATTCCATTTGAGCAGAAATTTTAACTTTTTCCTACAGTTTAAGAAACTGCATTTTGTTTCACTCAAAAAGATAATCTGAGGATCAATCCCTCTCAAAGCCTCTTTTGCTGCAAAAATTGTCAAGGGGGACCCTAACCCCTGACAATTCCAGCACCATGCTTTCATTCCCATTGAGGGAATGTTTAGGGTCAACTCTTATAAGCCCTTTGTTGTAACTGAAATCTTTTTGTGAGAGAATCTCTTTAGTCCCATGTCTTCTATTTCTACCCTGGACTTCACGCACTAAGCCAATCATTAAAAATATCCTCTATAGTTTGGGTTCTGTCTAGATCTTGAATTTGTGAAGAAGGGGAACTAAGCTTAACACACCTTTTACTATACTTGGAACACTACAACAACCATAAGTTTCTATGGCGCATATGCCGAAACCCCGTTCCTTTTGGAATAACTTTGACCAGGCTAGGATTAAACAGACTCTTCGAACTCATCAATTTATTTGCAGATTTTTGTTTGTTTAATAAAACCTTGTTCTTTTTTGAAGACATAAGTTGTTCCAGATTTTGTCTTATTCTTCTTTTTTTTTTGTTTTTTGTTTTGAGCAAACAGTCATTCATCGATTGACCAAGAGCCGAGGATTTCAAAGGCACTGGGAATCTCCAAATTCCCAACGCCCTTTGTTCTACGAACATCATAACTTGGTGCTCGACTGTTTCCTTACAAACTTTGGATGGGAGATACACCACTTCAGGCAGGGGATAACTATGAACAAAGCCATTAGTACTAGAAAAAACCGAATCAACAACATTATTGCAAATTTTTTCTTAATTCCTTGCAAAGGAAGATAGTACCTTTTTAGTCTGAGGTGAGTTCGCTATTACCCCATCATAAGGAGTCGATGGTAGATTAGTAGGTCCGTTGAAGAGCATTAGAACCTCCGTTTCAATATCGTCGTAAAAAATCCTTGCCTTCTTGCTGGTCGGGTTGTTTTTTGACAGATCTTTTTGTTCCTGGAGTCCTATCTCTCCTGAGACGAGGGCTTATTTGCTGGTTACGCCGTTGTCTGAAAAATTATTAAGATTGCGTTTAGAGTTGGTGTAAATCAAGAACAGTGTAAAAATTTATATTGAAACAAACAAGATTTTACACCAGTTATCAATGTAAATGCATCAAACTTTACTCTCTTCACTCGTCACATATTTTAAAAAGCAATAGTCACTTTCACGGTTGAATGTAAAGCATCACCCGTGTACTTTTATTTGGTATTGTGGTGGACTCGGGTTATGAAATCAGGTCTCCGTATTTTGCACATGCGTCTCCGCTATTTCTTCTTTTTGCACTGTCTTCTTTCCTTTTCCTCGAGCCATTTGACAATATATGACCCGCAACTATTTTACATGCCCCCCTTTAGTTTGTAGCTCATTGCTCAATAGACCCCCCTCAAAACGGAACAAGTTCAAAGGCCCCCGGACCTCACCTTCCTGCTCCGGAAAGGCTTTTGTATACGATTTCCAATTTGGGTAAAAGATTACTTGCCTGGTTCTTTACGCACTGCCTTGATACATTGGAAAGGTAAGATTTTCCTGCCCTATATTAATACCCTTTCGCGAACCTCTTTTGTAGACCTGTTCATGGGTCAGATAGTTCGACGGGTTAGTCCGATTCATTATAAATCAGGCTTAATCATAATTTTAGGCTGCGGGTTTGGATTTGGGCCTAAAACATCGGACTTGTTTTTTGGATCGGGCTTGAGCTTTTTCAAAAAAGGCCTGATTCGAGCCCAAGTCCAATGTGATATTATATATAAAATAATAAAAAATATATTTTATTTAATAAAAAATATATATATATGATATTTTTTCTTTGTTTTTTTAAGTAATAAAACACTTTTTTATTAAATAAAAAAATTCTATTTTCAAATTTCTAATCGGACTCGGACTCAGCCAAGCTTCGGACTTGGCTCGGGCTTAAGACTTAGGCCCAAGCTTCAAATTCACCGTTGACCGAGGAAAAACCTTGCCGGAGATGGTAACACTTTTACGTTTGTCTGGGATGTCCTCTTCTCCGGTGAGGTTTCTGCAGCACCGATACTGCACTCTCCTGAAAAAGCTTCCTACGTACGGGGAGTTTTTCTTGAACGTGTAGAACCTCCATCTGACTAGCAGTTTCCTTCTCTGTGACATTTGGGTTTGAATGAGAAACATTCCCGTCTACAGTGGTTTCGGATTCATCTAATTTTTCAGTCTGGACGGTTTGGCTTTTATTCTTTACATTCATGAACCGGTCCTCATCTGCTCCTACGAAGACTCTCATCCATGGACCACAGGGGATAGGTCCATCTGTGTCTCCCATGGATTGATTCGCAAAGTTTTTAATCATCTCTTCGAACTCAGCATTCGGATTCTTGGTGCTCTCCTTACAAGATTTCTCGACATGTCCTAAAAGACCACAACGATAGCAGAAGACAGGTAAGTTCAAGGAAACCAGACTTTTTACCTTCTTCAAGAAAACCATATGCCCCTTTTGCCAAGGGCTTTTTGATATCCACACACACCCTAACTCTCGGACCTTTATTCCATTCAGTTTTCTTGTTTTTCCTTCTCTTTTCTTTCGCCGGCTTTGATGTAGTGCGATCTAGCTGCTCTGCTGGAGGTGACCTAGCTTCCGGTCAGACGATGAACGAGGTTGATATGTAAGGAGACGATCAAAGAACCCGGGGTGGCTATCGGCGAGATCGCTCTAATGCTTAAGTTAATATATTTGTTGCGAGCTGAAATAGCTTAAAAATATAGAAAGCTAGAGAGCAGAGAAATCGCGCATACTTTGTGCCCTCGGGGTTGGAGCCTTTAAATAGTGAAGTCCTCGCGGGTTTCGCGGAGCAATTCCGGGATCCTTGTTATGACGAGATCCGTTTCCACATTAATTGGGAGATAACGTTGCCAACTGATAAGACTTATCTATTCCACCCGAACCAGGCGGGGAGGAAGATAAGGCTTGCCATTACGAGGCATGATCCCGTAAGGTTCGAAATCTGATAGCGTGGTTTCCGGGGTTGTCAAGTAGTGAACTGAGTCGGTATCCCCAAACTGATGCTCTTCAGTCCCGAACCGAAGTGAACCCCAAAGTGCCTTAGGACGGAGATGATCCTGATACTACCTTGTACTGAGATGATCTCGTCCCGAGGTGACCCATGCCAAGGTGGTTTGATTATCCGAGTTATCTTTTGCGGTATTGATATAGCGGGCTGAACTGTCATCTATTAGTCAGATTGTGTACATGTGCCCCCTATTACCAGCTCGGGCCAAATCACTTTCATCAGGCTTCATTGGAATAATTTCTGCATCTCGTGCGGGCAGCTCTCCTGTTTCTAAGGTTCTGTAGTCCAATGGTATGTTTAGAACTCGAACCCAAATGTTAAGATGGCTGAAACGAAGCTCACTAGGTATCTCCTCCGGAGTTCCCCTCTGCAGCAGTAAGGGATAATCCTTGAATAACCACGGCTCCTCTTTCACGATATTAACCATGTCTTTTTCCCTTCAAAAATTGATAGCTAAGATGTCATCGGCTACTAATGATCCTTTGACCCACCACCACATTTTCTTAATCTGATCTATCACTCCAATCATGTTTACCGGTTTATCAGCTAAAACCGTCGCATACAGAAAGAAGGATGGAGATTCAGATTTTTTCTTCATCAGTCTCTTCTCTTCTTTACTTCCATCTCCTTGCATCTCAGTCCCTATACTGCCTCTCCAAACAAAGATCAACCACGGAACAGGGGAAAAGGGTTGTCTGTAGCTTCTTTGTCTCAGTAAGAGCTTCTAAACACTCACTCAGAGCAGATTCGAGCAGAAGAGCTCAATTTCCCAGGACCTTGAGAGGATGAAAAGTAGATGATTTGGGAATCGGAAGGGTTCTTCTACTCTGTACCCAAGAAAGAAAAGAAATACTTGGAAGTTGGAACTGGAAAGTTGCAAGGGTCCAGACTCCAGAGCGATCAAGAACCACTTTCTCCCATATCCCAGGCTCGCAGCGACTAGTGAGTGGTTCATATTGCTTTGGGTCCTGGGCGGGCCCCATGGGGTCCCTACCGCGCAGCCTCTACAATCTTCGACAATGATACCGAAAACCTTATAACCAATCAACCGGTATCATGTAAGTGGCAAAGGTATTTATCAAAATTGAGGTGGACGTGGGATTTTGATGGGTCAAATCCTTTCGGTATCATGTATTTTCGGCAGCATAGAATTCCCCATCATTCCTGACCTGTTTCCCGGGAAAAATCGTATTATAATCCAATCGTCCATATTTCGCGGGTCCTTCGTTTCCCCTGTTTCATCCTCTTCCAGTCTTCCATCCTCTGCAAATGATGTAGAGTAACGGCTGAACCAGACGCCATAACCATAAGCCTTGTTCTCCAGTTCCTCTGATGTTTTAGAGTTCAGTACTTGCACTTCCAGCAAGGATCAATGGGAGAGCAGGTAAATCCGTTCGATGAAGCTTCGTCGGTTGCCGACAATCCGAAGACGGCTTCCATTGGTTCTTCGGTGATTCCTATTGTGAACAGACTGCAGGATATCTTTGCACCGTTGGGGGGGAGTTTTCCAAAGATCAATTTGCCTCAAGTTGCTGTAATCGGAAGCCAAAGCAGTGGAAAATCGAGTGTTCTCGAAGCTCTTGTCGGAAGGGATTTTCTTCCACGCGGTTCGGATATTTGCACCCGGAGGCCACTGGTTTTGCAGCTTGAACATCGGCCCCGGAGACCCAATACTGATGATGATAGGGAGTGGGGTGAGTTTTTGCACTTGCCTGAGAAGCGATTTTATGATTTCTCAGCAATACGTCGAGAAATTCAGGTATAGTTAAATTGTATGACATTGAGAAAATTTTCATTTCATAATTGGGATACTACAAGTAACTATATGTTCTAGAGGGTTTCCCCATAGTTTGTTGTGCAGCAATTGTGTTGGTTTAGTTTCCACTATTTGAAAGATTTTTTAACTTTTGTTAATTGGCTTGCTGCTGGTTTCGCTTTCTGCATGGTTTTTATTTTTCTATATAATTTGATTCTCAATTTTGGCATAGTAATATAATTGGTTAATTTCTTGTTCAGAAAGCTTTCATAGTTTTTTCTTTCATAATTGGTATATTAGAAGTAACTGTAAATTCTTGAAAATATTCTTTGTTATTTAGTTTATTAGCCGAATCGTTTTCTGTTCAGCAAGTTTCCGTTGATTTAATTTAATTTTTGAAAGCTCGTCTATTAATGAAACTGGATCTTTACTTGGTAAAGAAAATAAATTGGATACGTTATTCTACATGTTCCATCTATTTAGTGCTAGACTGCTAGTATTGCAACAATTTTTGTTTTGACTTTCGAGTTATTTGATTGATAATGCAGGCTGAGACTGAAAGGGAAGCAGGAACTAATAAAGGTGTCTCAGATAAACAGATTCGTCTAAAAATCTCTTCTCCCAATGTTTTGAATATAACCCTTGTTGATTTGCCTGGAATGACGAAGGTCCCAGTTGGAGATCAGCCCAGTGATATAGAGGCAAGGATTAGGACAATGATCATGTCCTATATCAAGCATGAAACCTGTGTAATATTGGCAGTAAGTCCAGCCAATTCTGATTTGGCAACCTCTGATGCACTTCAGATGGCAAGAGCTGCTGACCCTGCTGGTAGGTTCTTCTTTGATGTATTCTAACCCGTCATGAACCTATGTAGTTTTTCTTTACTAGCATTTTCTCAAGCAATTGGCTGTGATGATACTGGAAGACCACTGGGAAGACACTGTGGATTAGAGTTTCGAAAGTTGAAGGTGACAATGGAACTCTGAAAAGATTCTGTCTAGTTGAAAGTGACAATGGAACTCTGAAAGGAGTCTGTTGTGATCTGGTGCTGAAGAAGGCTGAAATTAGGTTTGGAGAAGTCATTCCCTGAGAATGGCAGTTTCTGATTCTCCAGATGAAAGACTGGAAGAGACAATGCTAAGTTGTGCTTTCCCGAGGATGATTCTCCTATTCTTAGTTAGAGCTTTGTCTTGTTCTGTTTTCCCTTTTGGAATGTTTATAGCTGGCCTGGAAGATTCCAGACTTCTGGACATTCCTGATATTACTTTAGTACCCTTTTTATCTTTATTTTAGGACCTCTTTTAGGAACCACAACAAAAGTTTCTGTCAGAAATACACCAGTTTGTTACATGCCACATCAGCATAGTTAGTTATAAAAGGTACATGGGATGTGGTACAAGGCTATGCCTTTCCTGACCCTACACATGCTCTGCAAGTATGTTTTAGCCACTCTGTCTTGTCATTGACATCCTTTCATGTTTGAACTGTGGAACAGAGAAGTGAGAGTGCTCTTCTTGCATGGCCAATACTATGGAGGCACATCTTCATGCCTCTGTTTATGCTTAACTATGGACTTTCACAAGTCCATGCACAGACACAGATATAGTATAGATTATGCTATAATGGTTTATCTGCCATAGTGCTGCACTAACACAAACTTTTTTAACAGGTTCTCGGACAATAGGTGTGATCACTAAGGTTTGATTTTCATCTGCTCTAGAAAGACTATATAATTATTTAAGTTTATTACTTTCCTAATAATTTGCTTGGTAATGGTGTCACATTATTTTTGTCTGGAGGCAGCTAGATATCATGGACAGGGGGACTGATGCCCGCAATTTTTTGCTGGGAAGAGTAATTCCACTTCGGCTTGGTTACATTGGTGTTGTGAACCGTAGTCAGGAGGTAAACAAGTCAAATTACTAGAAGCAAACACTAAACAAATATTGGGTGGTTGGTAATCTTGAAATGATTTTTCTATGGTAGTTTTTATAATTTGGTTTTTGTGACTTAGAGTTCATTGTTTCAAGCATAAAAATAGTTTCATTGAAAATTTTCAATCACAAGATCAATATCTGACCTTGATCCAGTTTGTAAGGTGCCTTTTCCTTTGGATTCAGTTGCTAGTTGTCTTGAATGTGGTTTGGCTTCTTCAGAGACATCGCTGAAGCAGGCGAGGACAGATATAGTGTGCAGTCAAGGGAATGGTTGTTTTGATATGGAGGACAACATTGGTAGCCAAAGGAGTATCAATGAACATCTAATTGAAGAAGTGATAGTTGGAAGGATTGGAGTCGACTTGGGTAGGACCGTAGGAGGAAGTTGGTGTCCGACTGTGCGGTCATTGGTGAAGGTTTGGTGGCTGCAAAGAAATCTAGAGGATCAAGTAAGTTTCATCTTGTGCATGTTACTAAAGTACTCTCGTGCTTGAAAGTGGGATTTGTTGGGGCTGGCCCTAGTAATAAATATAAAAGAGTCTTCACAAGAAGAAAGGTTAATTCCAGAGCCACGACTCATAAGGCTCTCGATGTGTTCAGTGGTCTGAATATTGTTGCTCGGAGTTTTGATGAAGGAGAGCTGAAGAGGAACAGAATTCAAGAGGTGTAGGAAAAAGTGGGTATTGATGAATCTGTGAGGACCGATGGAGAATTGAATTCAGATGTAGAGAAGAGGAAAAATGGTGGTTTGGAATTAAGGAATCTCGTGGAGAGGGATGTGGAAGTGGGTAAAGATTCGGGTCTTTCTTTTCCTGGGTGGTGAGGCCTTTGTAAGAAGGTTTTTGAAGAGTTTGTGAAATAGAAAAAGGAAGAATGCCATAAGAGTACCATTCCAAAGGAGCCGGGGGAGGTGTGGGATGAGGGCGAGGGACAGGAAGAGGTTTTAGATGTGGAGGAGTACTATTGGTTGATAGAAGGAGGTTGGGGAGGTAGTTTCTTCTGGTTTTTAGAGAAGATGGTTGGATGTTTGTCTGAAGAGTTTTAAAAGGGAGGGCTTGGAGATGATGTCTTCTTGAGAATGGATTTTTTTCTTTTGTTTGGTTTTCAGAGGGTGGAGTTTGTTTTTTGTATGGGTTTTATGTTTGTAAGGTTGCATTTTTTGTTGGTTATTGTAGTGGTGATTTGGTTCTTTGGGTGATTTCTTATTGCCTTTCTCTTGTAATTTCTTTTTTCTTTTTAATGATTCTTTTACTATAAAAAAATCAAACTTCAGAAATTGCTGTTGTTAGGGACTGCCTAACTCAGGGACTCTTTCGAGGGAGTCTGCCTCCTGTATGAGAGAGAGAGAGAGAGAGAAAGAGAGAGATTGTATTCCCAAATCGATAATCCCCTCCTAACCTCCTTTCCTTATTTATATACTGTTGTTACAATTCTGTTATMCCAGCCTCTCCACTTGTCCAGTCCACTTGTCTAGTTTGTTATTTAGTTTGTTCTAGTGGTTGGCTGTTAGTTACATTCTTTAAAGGCTGGCGTGGCCTTTTCTTGTACACTTGTATTCCCTTTATTTGTGTCTCAACAGTCCCTCCTCCCTTGAAAGCGACCTT